ACAGACAGCTAAAGCAACACACAGTTCTGATGTCCTTGCAGCCCCGAGCCTTGCTGTGCACAGGAAGGGTCCGTGTCGAAGAGGAAATCACAAAGGGTAGTATTTCTTTCTTGAGTGGAGGGGTGACCCCTTCGAGTTAAAATTACAACTTGTAAGGTTTCTAAAGAGGTGAGTCAGATGTGCAGCTCCACCCCTAAGGCTGGTCTCAGTGGCAGTGGGGTGCTGAGGATCCCCTCTGCCTGGCTGTGATCCCCTCTGCCTTGCTGCCGGGGCTCCTGGGTTGGGGACATGCTCTCCCTTCGTAGATGTGAGGGCCTGAAGTTTTGTCAAATGGGACAAGGGTTTGAAGGGTAGCAACCACAGGGAGACTGGCTTGGGCTATTTTTAGAAGGAGCCATGTGGGTTGGCCCCGAAGACAATAAAGAATGTGGCCCCACAATGTACCATTGTTTCCCTGGTGGCTTCAGGGTCAGCAGATGACCCGAGTCCCACGGGGCTGCACTGTTGCTCCCGTCCTATGGATTTTTCCAGAGCTTGCTTTGGGCAAGAAAGCAGTGCTGAGCCTGCTTCCACTGAAGGGGAAGCGGAGAGGGAGGCAGGGCTGGGTTTTGTGTTCCCAAGGGCGGGGGACTTGTTTGTGGGAAAAATAAGGCATATGGCCCAGAAGACTCTGTGCTGGAGCTAAGTGTCCCTGCCTGCACCTGTCAGTGCCTACCTAAGCCTGAATGTGTCCCCTGGTGCCTGACTGTGTCTGCCTGCACCTGTCAGTGCCTACCTATGCCTGAATGTGTCTCCTGATGCCTGACTGTGTCTGCCTGTACCTGGCTGTGTCTGCCTGTGCCTGCCAGTGCCTACCTAAGCCTGAATGTGTCTCCTGATGCCTGACTGTGTCTCCTGGTACCTGGCTATGTCTGTCTGTACCTGGCTGTGTCTGCTTGTACCTAGCTATGTCTGCCTGTACCTGGCTGTGTCTGCCTGTGCCTGTCAGTGCCTACCTATGCCTGAATGTGTCTCCTGCTGCCTGCCTGCACCTGTACCAATGCCTGCCTGTGCTTGCAGTATCCTTCCTCAAAGACACAGGTTCAAATTCTTATTCCATAGAGTGGGGTGAGGGGGTGAGGGGCTCTGAGCTTCTCCAGGGTTAGCTCCCCCCTGCATCTCTCTCTGTGCCTTGGTGGGGACAGAGCTACAGCTCATCAGTGTGCGTGTGCTCATGTGTGTTTGAGACAATTTGTAGCCCAGGCTGTCTTCAAAGTCACCATCTTCCTGTCTTACCCTCTTCAGGGATGGGGTTGTAAGTGTGCGTGGCCGTAAGCAGCCAGGGTGGGGCCTCGGTGAGATGGCACACTGGGTGCTGGGAATGTAGCTCGGTCATAGAACACTCGCCTAGTGGGTGCCAGGCCCTGGATTCCAGATCCAGTCAGTGCCAGCAGCAAAAGGAGAAAACCGCGATCAGGCACCATTCCCTGGAGGTGGGATTCGGGAACGAGGGCTCATTCTTTCTGTTTCGTACCCGTGAATCCGTGTGCTAGATCACACCCATGTGCACTGCTATTCACAGACATCGTGTGTATTGTATATTAGGACACAAGCGTGCTCTGCTCTACTCAAAACGAGCACACCCATGTCCACGGACGCTGTTGTGATAGTGTATGTTTGTGTGCGCTGCTTTACCTGCCAATGCAGTGCTCCTGCGTGTACCGCCTTAGTCATACACGTGTGCTTGCTGCTGTCCTTGTCCATCCGTGTGCTCGGATGTACAAGTTCACCCAGGTGCATTTGCTGTACTGCCACAAACGTGAGAGCTGCTATTTTAATACAGGCGTGGGCTCTGCTGTACCAGTCACACATGCTCTCTGTTGCGTATGCTGAACGTCTGTTTGTGCTGCAATAGTGCCCCTGTCGTGGAATCCCTGTCCCCATGGGCTTCACAGCCTTATTCTGGTCACCCAAAGTCTCACAGGAAGGAGACCGCTCCCAAGACAGGCGAGAGTGACTTCCCAGACCACAGCTCCCGAGTGCGTGTCTTCCCCATGCCTTCTCCTCCGTGGGTGCCACTCCTGTCTCAAGAGACTTGTATGGGTCCTAGATTCTGGGAGAAGGTTGGTGCCGGGTGTCCTACTTTAACCTCACATTTGCTGCAAGCTGATCCATCGTGACCTTCTGCGGTGCCAGTGGGCTCTGGTATTTCCAGCCTGTGTGACTGTATGGAGTGACAGATTCAGGGAGCTGAGCATTGATGGTGCACGCCTTTAATCCCAGCACTCGGGAGGCAGAGGCAGGCGGATCTCTGAGTTCGAGGCCAGCCTGGTCACCAGAGCGAGTGCCAGGATAGGCTCCAAAGCTACACAGAGAAACCCTGTCTCAAAAAACCAAAAAATAAAAAAAATGATTCAGGGAAACACAGTTGGTTGACTGGGGCACCTGCCTCTGACCACCAGGTGTGGATGCAGGTGTCACATAACACTGCCCGGCTCTTGCCAGAGATGATCTGGAGAGAAATGATCCAGCTTACAAGGAAGGCCTCAGTGTCCCCAGCTGACCTGGGAAGGGCAGCCAAGAGCCAACCACATCAGAGGAGGAAGCTGGTGCTCTCAGACGAGGAAATTCACTCCCCTGAGATGTGTCTTGGGTCCTTAGAAACCTTGACTGACAGCAAAGTAGACAGACAGCATGGGGCAAAGGCAGGGTCACAGTCATCTATGTGGGAGTTTCAGATGACAATGGCAGGGCAAACCAGCCTCATCACAGGGAGATGAGGGCTTGGAACTAAGATGAAGCCTGTCTTTTTAGGGGCAGAAGAAAGATAAACACGTTCCTTACTCTCATGAGGGTGCATGGTGAGGACTGTGGATTACTAAGAAATGGCCTCCGAGTGGAACACGAGAGAGAGAGAGAGAGAGAGAGAGAGAGAGAGAGAGAGGAGAGAGATTCAGGTGGATCATTTCAGGTTCTCTGGTCATTCCAGAAAGGAAGGTTGTTAGCCCAGGACTCGAACAGTCCCAGGAGGTGGATGCCATTGAGACTTCTACCTTCTTTCTGCCTTTACCATCCTGGGGATGATGGTTTAGTTCAGGCAAACCCTTGCCCTGTGATAATACACTAGCTGCTAGGTAGGCTTTGCCAGGTCAAGCCTGGTCTATTTCCACAGTGAGTGAGGTTAGCTCTGCTTGGTGTCACCTGCTCTAGCATGACAGGTGCCATGTGGGAGTTGACTCAGCCTGTGAAACAGGAAGAGTGAACACCAACAGATACTGGAGCCAAGGGGTGCTCTCTCTCTCTCTCTCTCTCTCTTCTCTCTCTCTCTCTCTCTCTCTCTCTCTCTCTCACTGTGTGTGTGTGTGTGTGTGTGTGTGTGTGGTGTCTTAGTCTTATTTTGCTGTGAAGAGACACCATGACCAAGTCAACTTCTATTAGCAAGACAAAACACAAACATGTAATTGGGGCTTGCTTACGGTTTCAGAGGCTTAGTCCGTTATTATGGCAGTACACATGGTGCCGGAGCAGTGGCTGAGGACTATATCCTGACCCGCAGGCCAAGGGACCAAGAGAAAGAAAGAAAAACACTGGGCCAGGAGTGGGCTTTTGAGACCCCCAAAGCCCACCTCCAGAGACACACTTTCCAACAAGCTCATGCCTCCTAAATTCCTAATTTCCCATCAAAGGGTTCCATTCCCTGCTGCTTAAGCTTTTAAATATATGAGCCTACGGGGCCATTCTTACTCAAAATACCACATTGTGTGCCCCCACAGGAAACAGGGGTTGTCCTTTGAAATGGGGAGTGACTTCCAGGAAGCCGCAAATAAGCAAATATTTATTACCCATAGGTTAGGTGAGGAACAGGTGCAGGGAATCAGGAAGCTCAAGCCAGATACAGAAAACAAAGTCCTTTTCAGGGAGTATGGCTGGGGCCACTTGTCCCTGGAACGTAGTGCACGACCTGCCAGGGCCCTGTCTTCTGCCTCCTGGCACAGCTTTGCTCTGCCTTCCTCCCCTCCCTCCCTCTTTTTGACCTCAAACACCTGTTTGAGGGACCAAAGGAGGTGTGTACTTGGGGCATCCTCAGAATACGACTGGGGACCTGGCAGGTGAATCCCAGGTGACAGGGCTCTGTCTGTGATCTCTCCTCAGGAACAGGACATTGAAACCCTACATGGCTCCCTGCATGTCACACTGTGTGGGACCCCCAAGGGCAATCGTCCAGTCATCCTCACTTACCACGACATCGGCATGAACCGTGAGTTTGGAGAGCCGGGTCACTTGGGGCTGGAGGGAGTGCCAGCTGGGGATGGCTAGTGGAAGACAGCCGCTCTTCTGGTTTTTGTGACTCCAGAAGGGACTCCTGCTTCAGACTGGAAAAACATGAATCACATTGTGTGGCCCAGTGGCCACACAGTGGCCCAGTGCTTCTAGTGCTGGATGCTCTGTGGACAGGAAGCAAGTACCTATGCTACCTAACGACCTGTTACAGTGACTTAAGAATTAAGTGCCACAAACAGCCTTTGATATCACCACAGAGGTGTGTAGTCAGCAGCACAGCCAGCGCTAGGATTCTGTAGTCACTCTATCAAGAAGTCTTGTCCCCTTTCTCCATTGTCCTTAATCTTGCAAGCTTCTCAGCCCTCTGAGGATGCCCTGCTCCTTCCGTATGTCTCTAAGACTCTCCTAAGCACACTCCCTCCAGTGTGGTCCTTCATGATTGGTTCATACCTGGCTTTGTCCATGTCTTCAAGATTTCTGTGTGTGGGTAGCCTTTGGTAGTATTTCACTCACGCCTACTGAGTGGAAACCACACTTATTTCTCCAACAAATCTCATGGTCAGGCCTGTCATAGCAATACGCCACTCCCCCAGTACCAACGTCTGTCTTAGTCACTGTTCAGTTGCTATGAAGAGACACCATGAGCAAGGCAACTACTTGGGGACTTGCTTACAGTTTTAGACGTTTGGTCATGGCATAGAGCATGGAGGCAGGCAGGTGTGGTGCTGGAGAAGTAGCTGAGAGCTACTCCCTAATCTGCAAGCAGAGAGAGAGAGAGAGACTTGGGCTGCCACGGGCTTTTGTGAGCATGTCTAATGTAACTGGACTACAACGCTCTGTGTGTAGACCAGGTTACCTCGAACTCACAGAGATGCACTCTTCTGGGAGCTCCTCCCTGCTACTGCTGCTGCTGCTGCTCCTAAGTGGTGGAATAAATGAGTGTGGTTTGCTGCCAGCCCACTCTCCTCACTCCTTTCTCATGTCCTGCAGACAAGACCTGCTACAACCCGCTCTTCAACTCCGAGGACATGCAGGAGATCACACAACATTTTGCTGTCTGCCATGTGGATGCCCCTGGCCAACAGGATGGTGCCCCGTCCTTCCCAGCGGGGTAAGAGCAGAGCCTCCCCACCCCAGGAGCAGGTGGGGGTGTGTGTAGGTGGGGTGGGAATTGTCAATCAATGTAAAATAAAAATTAGCCATGGTAAATACTAGATTTACTCTTTCTCTCTTTTTCTTTTCTTTCTTTCTTTTTATTTCTTACCCCCAAAGCCAGAGATAGAATAGCTCTTCCTGCTAGCCACCTTCTGAGTCAAGTGGCTCCTGAGTAGCTGACAAGACTATAGTGCCAGGGCAGAGGAAGCAGGGTTATGGTGGGGTGTCCTCAGAGAGTGGATGCTGAGGGGTGCCAATGTTGCATCTGTGTTGCTCCGTGGAGGGGCCAGCTGGTGTTGGGCTTCCAGAATGTCCTGGTATGGATGACTTGTTTTCTTTGAGGGTCTGATTTCTCAAGATCTGCCTTCCCATGTCCCCCACAGGTACATGTACCCCTCCATGGATCAGCTGGCTGAAATGCTTCCTGGAGTCCTTCACCAGTTTGGGTAAGAGCAAGGGACCCATTCTTCTAAGGTTGTTAAGGGCAACTGCCAGCCCCCTTCTCTTCCTTGGCATGACCACTAAGATGATCTCAGATGAGTCTGGAAGGGAGCTTGCAGCAGCCTGGACCCACTGTTAACACCCAGCTCATCATCTGTGTCCCGCTGACTGCAGCCTTGCTTCTTGAGTGGCCCCAATGCCCACCCTGTCCTCGCCTTCTGGTCCCATGGCATATTCCTGGAATAGTGTTCCCTGGGAGCTTGGCTTCTCTCTCCAGACGCTTTTCATCCTGCCTTGCAGGCTCCCCTTTCTCTCTCACCGCAGCTTCTCCTAGGGTTAAACCCCATGGTTCTGGCCCAGTTTGTTCTCAGTCCAAGTTTTGGAGACCAGAATAAAGCTTGGGATTGGGGTGAGGCAGCTTCTGAATGGGCCTTCCTAGAAATGCTAGGCATCTCAGAGCCTTGGCTGGCTGCAGCAAAGGGAAAAGGAGGGATGAGGCTCCCAAGGTCACAGCTCTGGACTTGGAGGGCACATGAGGGCAGCCTGCCTCTCATGGCATGGGAAAGCTTGTGGGCATTCCTCAGCAAAGATATCTAAGGGGTGGAGCTCTTAGGAGTAAGTGAGGGGAGTTTATTGGGGCAGGCAGGGGCTCCATCACATTTCCCTTTAGTGATGTGATGGTTCATTTGGCTTCCAGGCTCAAGAGTGTCATCGGCATGGGGACAGGAGCTGGTGCCTACATCCTGACCCGATTTGCAGTAAGTTCTTCTACAGTTTGTAAGACCACATTGAGGAAAAAATTATTTAGGGGCTGGGGAGCAAGCTCAGTAGGAGCTATGCAGGCACAGAGACTTGAGGACCGGAGTTCGAATCCCCAGAATCCACTTGGAAGATAGGCATGGCTGCAGGTACCTGTAACCTCAGCATGAGCCTGGGGCGGAGTTAGGTAGAGACCCTGGAGAGGCTAGGCTAGCCTAAAAGGAGAGCTTCCTATTTGATGAGAGACCCTGTCTCAAGGGAACACAGCTCAAGAGAGAGCAACAGAGATAAACGCCCATGCCTTGCCCTGTCTTCTGCATGGTTGTGCTGGGTGTGTGTACTTGCACACTCATGTATGTGACACACAGAGAGACACAGATAAATAAATAAATACATACATAAAATTTGAAAAATATCAAAAAGCCCAAACAGGAAAAGAAATGAGCTATACTTCCATTCCCCAAGGGAGAGCCACTGGGGCCACTTGTGGCGTGAGCCGTATTGGTATCTGTGCTTGTCCATTCATACTAACAGCTGAAATGCCACAGTGTGACAGGGTTTTGGTCACGGGCCTTGTCCCCTGAGTAGGAAATGCGGATGGCTTCCGACTCCACATCCTCAGATCCTGCAGAGTTTTGTGACCCAGGTCCTCTGCGATCCTGATGGGAGTCTAAATAAAAATGAGACACGCATACGCACATGACAGTGCCCACTGCAACACTGTGGGTGTCCTTCTTGTCTTTGCCGGTTACCTTTAAGTGGCTCTTGTCCCTCAACTCAGGGTGTTTCAATGCCTGCTAAGTGCAGCGCCTTGAAGTTAGCTTGGGCACCAGCTTCAAGTAGATGCTGGCTGGCATGGCCTTGGTGTCCTAAATACACAGGCATTGCAGGTAACAGAGCCACAGTGCATTTCCGCGCCCTCCTCACTTTGATGTGTCTGGGCATCTGGCGAAGCTGAGGCTGGGGACATGAGGGGCAGGTCCCCAAAGTGTGAATGTATTCTTCTGTGGCTTCTTCCTCCTTGGGAGGACCCGATCCACTTCCAACTAGGCTAGAATCTCAGCTCTGCACTGACTATGCCAGGGAGCAGTTCCCACGTGCTACAGGCTTCCACTGTTGTTGGCTTGAAGGCCTCTGTGTTTGTTTGTCTCG